GTCTGATGCTGCCTGTCTGTGATTGGCTGGTGTCTGATGCCGCCTGTCTGTGATTGGCTGGTGTCTGATGCCGCCTGTCTGTGATTGGCTGGTGTCTGATGCTGCCTGTCTGTGATTGGCTGGTGTCTGATGCCGCCTGTCTGAGATTGGCTGGTGTCCGATGCTGCCTGTCTGTGATTAGCTGGTGTCTGATGATGCCAGTCTGCGATTGGCTGGTGTCTGATGCCGCCTGTCTGTGATTGGCTGGTGTCTGATGCCGCCTGTCTGAGATTGGCTGGTGTCTGATGATGCCAGTCTGTGATTGGCTGGTGTCTGATGCTGCCTGTCTGTGATTGGCTGGTGTCTGATGACGCCTGTCTGTGATTGGCTGTAGGATCCTGAAGCAGTACGATCACCCAAACATCGTGAAGCTGATTGGTGTTTGTACCCAGCGCCAGCCGATCTACATCGTCATGGAGCTGGTTCCTGGTAGGTGGAGCTTTGTCCCTGCTGAGGTTGTTTCTGATTGGTCACTGTAGCAGCTGTAGGTTTGACTCTCGCTGCATCTGTCAGGTGGAGACTTCCTGTCCTTCCTGAGGAAGAAGAAGGACGAGTTGAAGACAAAGCAGCTGGTCCGGTTCTCAGTGGACGCCGCCGCCGGCATGGCGTACCTGGAGAGTAAGAACTGTATCCACAGGTGAGTCTCAGAGAAACAGCATTAAACTCATGGCGTCATCATTTCATTAAATTATGATGTTGTCCATGTGACGTGGACGCTGACATCCACAGTGTCCATCCACTAAGAATAGAGAGAGTCCGTCCTTCTTTATTAACATCCCAGAGAACGTCCTCATCAGACCTGACTGATCCAAACACACTGTGTCTCTATGTCTCTGTCTGTCTCTGTCCTCTGTCTGTCCCGTCTGTCTCTGTCCTCTGTCTGTCCCGTCTGTCTCTGTCCGTCCCCTGTCAGGGACCTGGCAGCGCGGAACTGTCTGGTTGGAGAGGGCAGCGTGTTGAAGATCAGTGACTTTGGGATGAGTCGTCAGGAGGATGATGGGATTTATTCTTCATCTGGACTCAAACAGATTCCCATCAAATGGACGGCGCCAGAGGCTCTCAACTACGGTATGTCACTGCTGACACGTCCTGTCAGTCCTCTGTCATGTGTCACCGATGTGTCGCTGATGTGTCAGCAGTGTGTCACTGATGTTAGTGGTGTGTTACTGATGTGACAGCAGTGTGTCACTGATGTGTCACTGATGTTAGTGGTGTGTCACTGATGTGACAGCAGTGTGTCACTGATGTGTCACTGATGTTAGTGGTGTGTCAGTGATATGTCAGCAGTGTGTCACTGATGTGACAGCAGTGTGTCACTGATGTGTCACTGATGTTAGTGGTGTGTCAGTGATATGTCAGCAGTGTGTCACTGATGTGTCACTGATGTTAGTGGTGTGTCAGTGATATGTCAGCAGTGTGTCGCTCATGTGTCACCCATGTGTCACTGATGTTAGTGGTGTGTCAGTGATATGTCAGCAGTGTGTCACTGATGTGACAGCAGTGTGTCACCCATGTGTCACTGATGTGTTGTGCTCTCTGATTGGCTGTCGCAGGCCGTTACAGCTCTGACAGTGACGTGTGGAGTTATGGGATTCTGTTGTGGGAGACGTTCAGTCTGGGGGTGTGTCCTTATCCTGGGATGACCAATCAGCAGGCCCGAGAGCAGGTGGAGAAAGGTAACCAGCTGCTCTTCATCATCATCGAAAGTAGAGACTTATGTTTAATGAATGCTCACCCTCTTCGTCACTCATTGGTCGTTAAGTCATTCTGTGTGTTACTATGGAAACACTGACTCTTCCCCCTCCCTCCTCTCCTGGTTGCTAGGTTACAGGATGGCATGTCCTCAGCGTTGCCCTGATGATGTGTACAAAGTGATGCAGCGCTGCTGGCAGTACAACCCTGAGGACCGCCCCAAGTTCTCAGAGTTGCAGAGAGACCTTGCTGCCATCAAGAAAAAGTGATGACATCGTCACATGACCTCATCGCCATCAAGAAGTGATGACATCAGTCACATGACCTCATCGCCATCAAGAAGTGATGACATCAGTCACATGACCTCACCGCCATCAAGAAGTGATGACAGCATCATCACATGACCTCGTCGCCATCAAGAAGTGATGACATCATAACATGACCTTGCCGCCTTCAAGAAATGATGACATCATCACATGACCTATTCACCATCAAGAAGTGATGACATCATAACATGACCGTGCCGCCTTCAAGAAGTGATGACACTAGATACAGAGAAAGAAAGTTTCTGTACAGCAGAGCTCCACCAGCACACTTTTAGTTTGGGGTGGGCGTGGTCAATGTGTGGGCGTGGCCAGCAGGTGGAGGCAATGAACCTTTAGAAACACTACAAACAGAAAAGACACTTAGAATTTAGCTGCTAATGTTTGAGACGACTAAACATTACTGACATCAGCATACGTGTAGCTAATCATGTTAGTATCTGTAAACACGTTAACGTCTCACGTGGTTATTCTGTCGTCAAACAGGAAGTGCAGTCTGGTGTTACGGAGCTAACAGCTTTGCATGAGTTTAGCCAGAGATGTTAGCATGTTAAAACATACTAATATGTTGAAACTTGAATCAGAAGTTATTAACGCTAATGCTCGTTTACAACAAAACTTTATTTAAACAATCAAAAATCAAATGTTTGCTTTTTTTGTGAAAAACCTTCAGTTTCCTGTGTTTTATTTCAAAATAAGCTAAAATTATCCAGCGAGGTCATCAGGTGATGTCAGACACTAAACCACGCCCCCAGAATACCACCTTTCACTACTGTAACCACGGCAACAGCGTGAACACTAAAAGCTTCTGAGGACCAATCAGCTGTCGCCACTAAACATTGTGACTTTTATAAATCTTTTATTCTGAAAATCCACCTTTCAGTGAACACACAGGCCACGCCCACTCCAACATGTGTTTCCTCCGACCAACCCATGATTCAAATTCTTTATTTAAAACATTTTATTTTTTAACTGATATTTTTATTATTTTAAACCAAAGTTAAAAAAAAAAATTAAAAAAGCAGCTCCAAAACACTTTTAAAAAAAACAAAAAACATCGTCAGCACTTCCTTTTTTTTCTCCAGGTTGTCATGGCAACTGAAATAATGACGGACCACCTTGTTATAAGAAAAGAAGATAAAGTTTAATATAAATATGTATAAACTACAAATAAGAAGACACGTATCACTTCCTGGACTGCGTCAGGGCGGAGCCTAACTGTTAGTGATGTCGAGCGCCGCCTACTGTTTGTGTAAATAAATTCTGTTTGTTTCTGACAGTTTTCAACACTAATCATTTGTTTGTTTTTTACATTTGTTTATCAAAATACTATCTTAGCATTTATTATGAAAATAAAACAAATCATATGAACATGCCTGACGAGTGATGTCATTCCTAACCTGTCTCCTCATTGGTCCAACAAATCCCACGGAGAGCAGCGTCATCTCCGTCACTCCTCTTAAGTTTAAACTTTATTCAAACACAGTAACTTTATCGACACACTGTCTGCGGTACGAGTCGTTTTCAGTCGCAAATAAAAAACGAAACTTTATTTTTTCACCATCTTTATTTCGTCATTATTAAAACTGTAAACTTCCAAATAAGGTCGGCAGCGTGGCGGGTTTCGGGTGGGGCTTGTAGCCGATTCGCTCGTTGATAAGGTCCGCCCTTGATGCTGTTGTAGAGGAAGAAGCTGAGGTTCCGCCTCCGATGACGTCAACACTGATGACAGAAGCCCCGCCCGCTCCTCCTCCAGACTCCGCCTCCTCCCGTTGACGTTTCCTGGCCTAACAAAAACAAACAAATAAAGGTCAAAGTCGACCCCACACTCAGTCGTGTGGCGCCACGACTCTGAGTCTCCGCCCACTGCTGCCGCCATCATCAGTCCGTCCTCAGGTGTTGATGTCACTGCACCATGTGACTAATTGACTGATCAATGAAACAGAACCTGACCAGAGAACGGCTGAAGATCAATAACATACAACCATCAATCAATTAATCGATCAATCAGCACTCACGTTGAGTGACACAAGACAGGACTGATTGATATAGTGAGTATTGATAGGTATTGACCAGTGCTGACAATCGATCAGTGTTGACAGTACTGATCGGTGTTGACAGTATTGATCAGTGCTGACCATATTGATCAGTATTGACAGTATTGATCAGTGCTGACCATATTGATCGGTGTTGGCAGTATTGATCAGTGCTGACAGTATTGATTGGTGTTGACAAACCAAATCGGTATTGACACTATTGATCAGTGTTGGCAGTATTGATCAATGCAGACAATATTGATCGGTATGGATAGTATTGATCGGTGTCGACAGTATTGATCGGTGTCGATAGTATTGATCGGTATTGACAGTATTGGTAGTATTGAGCGGTGTTGTGCTAGTTACTGAAATAGTAACTAGTTACCATTACTACTTACTTCATTAAAAAGTAACTCAGTTACTTAAACCAAAAAGTAATGCGTTACTCTGATCAATATTGATCAGTGCTGACAGTATTGATCGGTGTTGACAGTATTGATCGGAATGGACAGTATTGGTCAGTAATGACAGTATTGATCAGTGTTGACAGTATTGACAGTATTGATCGGTGTTGACAGTATTGATCAGTAATGACCAGTGTTGTGCTAGTTACTGAAATCGTAACTAGTTACCATTACTACTTACTTCATTAAAAAGTAACTCAGTTAGTAACTCAGTTACTTAAACCAAAAAGTAATGCGTTACTGAGAAAAGTAACTTTTTAGTTACTTCCCTTCCCGAAAAAAACTCGACTTAGGACTCTCGTCTTGTCTCGTCAACATGCCATGACCTTGACGCACGCGCACTAGTGGCATCTACAGTCAGGTCCATAATTATTTGGACAATGATACAGTTGTCGTCATTTTGGCTCTGTACACCACCACAATGGGTTTTAAATGAAACAATGAATACCTGCTTAAAGTGCAGACTCTCAGCTTTCATTTAAGGCTTTTTTCAAAAATGTAGTATGAA